ACCACTTTTATGTTTATATTCAACAATTTCAAACAACAATAGCCCTAAATGAAAACCATAAATGAAAAAAAAATGAAGAATAACAATAGCCCTAAAAACATTCTCTACATGGTTCAAAAAAAAAATGTGACTTCCTCTCACTGCTCAATATGTGAACTACCTTTATGCGAATAATAACCACTCCAATATGCTTTTACTACTGCAAAAAATGCTCGAAAGTTGAATTGACGAGGAATGCTTTTGACAGAATTCTTTGTTTGGAGATGCACGGTTTGTTAATGAGAAATGAGGTGTTACACATCTTGTAAATATACTTGACCCGTTAATAAGTTTCGAGTTGAGGCATGGAGCCAAACAAATGGGTTGATTTCATTAAGGGCAATTTTATTTAAATTTTAATTCTCTTGGCTAAAATCAGTTAAAGTTATAAGAAACCTATTTTTAGAAACACTTTATACATGGGCCCATTTATAAAATGAGCTCTTTTTTTTTTTACATTTTTTATTTGTTTTATCCAACGTGACAATAATTAAGTTTGAGAGGAAAATAATTAATAAAACTTTAGGTACTTTCTACTTTTATGGAATAAATCTTTAGTTGCTTGATTAATGTCATAGTTGAACGATAAATATAACAAGCATCTTCATCGTTCTTTTCCTTTTTTCGCCCATTTAAGGGCTCATGTATTATCATGGATATTAATTATGAGAGCTCTACACACCAAACATGCATGTGTCTCTTCTATCATTCAATACATAATAATGTAAACTTATAGCAGTAGTACGGTTTGCCATATTTTGTGTGCTAGAAGTCGCCTTCTTAGCCTACTTTAATTCTCTTGAAGGGCCATACCTATCCCTTGTTGTTTCATAATGGTTGATTGTTACTTGTATACACCAAACCATGCCCACCCACAATCAGATTTATTAGGAAAGTGAGATTCCTTTTATCTCTAATTTCAAAAATTCAAACTTGAAATCTCCAAAATAAGCTTTACTATTTATTTATCATTATTTGTTTTAGTGTCAAATAATGGTAAAAGAACAAGGTCATAAATAATTGAAATGTAACACTAACTCAAATATCTACAAGGAAATTAAAATTAATTATTTTGCTATTTAAATTATGATAGTTTTTAGGACTTTAACATTAAAATCTTCAACTGTATTTATTTCCTTTTGATCAAAATGTAACATTAAAATTACCCTTAAAATGCATAAAAAATTTACGTAAGACTATGTAAAATGCATAAAGATTTATATAATTCATATTTTATTAATTTTCAACTATTTATCTCGCTTCTCTAATTATGTAAAGGTCAAGATAATTAATAAAATACATATTCTCTAATTTTGTATTTAATAAATCTTTATTTTTTTATTACTTTTCAATTTCAATAATGCTATTAATTCACAATTATTTCTCTAATTTTTAATTGACATAAACGCTAAATTTTTTTTAATTTTAATAAAAATACCTCATTTGAATATTTAAGTGCTTCTACCTTTTACGTGATTGAGCGGTTTGATGTGGATTTGGTTGTGTGAGAGTTATTATCCCGTGAACTGTGCCAAGTTGGTCCCGTGAAGTATGTGGAATTCAAATGCATGCTGTACCAGAGTTGTTGTGGAATTGTGCTTGTTGTGAAGTTGAATTAAATGGAGAGCCCTATCTGATTGGTATGCAAGTGGATAAGTTTTAATTTTCGTGAGTTTTTTCTGCTTTACGGAGAGTAATTTAAGTGTTTACTTACACTCGAGTATTTGACTTACTGATTGATAAATGTTCTTCTATTTAAAGAATAAAATTTGAATCCGACTTCTTTTAATTAAAATAAAAAAAAAACTTAACTGTATGCCTGATGGAGGAATCTTGGGCAACTTTTAAACCGGATTTGTTGGAATTCAGATAATTTGATGATCATTTAATATAAACAAGCAAGATGTCAATGTAATATTCAAATTAGCTTTCATAAAGGATTAAGTATAATGATTAAAAAAAGATTAAACTTATCTCTTCTCATAAATGAGTAAAATTTAAAGTAAAAACTGTAACATATATAAATAATATAAATCATAAAAATATATACAACGAGGCAAAACTTAGGTAAAATAGTGTCATATTGACATATAAATTTTAGATCCATGTCAATTATGTGTGAAGAAAAAGCATAGATATTTTTATTAATAAACTAATTGTGTACATAAATTTGAGATTCCCATATTAGTTTTTTAAATTATAAACTTGATAATTTCAAATATTCAACAGTCAGTGGGTATCAGCATCAGGACTCGTCACTTCACAGCTCATACTGTTTCTGAAAAGGACAAAATTCAACCTGAGCCCGTAAAATGTACCGAAGTTAACAGCTCCGCTGAGATTGCAAGGCTGGAGGGCAACGAGAGTACATTGCTTCACCGATACGGAATTTAAAAGCCATAAGAAACCATTAATGATGAAACAGTTAGACGTAGCATTGCACCAAGCTGGTAGCATGTGCAACCCAATTGGGAAGAAAAAAATTGATTAAATATGATTTGATTGTTTTGCTTGTTTAATCAGAGATAAGAGCTCACTAATCCACGAAGTATGTACTCATGTATTAACAAATCTGATTGGCAAAGTACCTAATTTTCAAACCTAGCAATGAAAATAGCAGGCAACAACTACATCACTAATTTTATTTTGATATATAAATATACGAATATTGAAAAACTTTTTTATTCACAAAAACAAACTATTTTTCATAGTATTTCTAAATCATCATTTTAATGTTAATAAGATTTATCCAATTTCTGAATGACAATTCTAATTGCATCTACTACAAATATTTTTATTATAAATATTAATAAGATTTATCTAATTTATAAATAAAAATAATTCTAATTGCATTGACTAAAGTTTATTCAACAATATTTCAAAAATGTATAATATTGAATTATTTATAGTTAATATTATGAATTTTTAATTATTTATATTTCAAATTTTTATTTTTATATAATTTTTAAAACTAATACATTAAACTAACTAGCAATTAAAAGATTCAAAATAGACAATAATTTTATATAACATGTAAATTAAAAAGAATAAGACAAAAAGATTGACGATAGTAGTTAGGAAATTGTACTAAACGATGTTTTTTAGTTTCAAATTCATAAATTATTGACTTTGTATTGAAGAAACTAGTAATATTTTTTTCAATATAAAGAATTAAAATATTTGTAATTATTTGGACAATTTGTATATTTTCTTTTAAAGAATTTGTTAATTGTTTTCAATTTACTCATATTTTAATCAAACTTAAAAGTAATAATACCATCAACATCCAAAATATTCTTATTTTATTTTTATTTAAACTTAACAATATTAAATATAAAACTATGATGCATAAAATATAAATAATTAAATATCATATACAAGATTTCACATAATAATTAAATATATAAATAGTTAAATAATTAAATAGAAAGAAAAAAAATAAAAAAATGTTACCTTCTTTTAATTTCACATAATGGTGGTGAGTGGTTTATGTCCTATATTTTCTAAGTTCACAAGTTTATAAATCTCGTTTGAACAGCGAAATGCGTTTTAATGGTAAATTACAGAGAAGAAAATAAAATAAAAATAAAAAGATAAAAGAGAGAGAAAAAGAAAGAGAGAGAGAAAGAGGTGTAGATAAACTTAAAAATTAGGATAAAATTAAGTAAGATTTGTAGATTTATTTTATTATTTTTATAAGGTCATTTTGAGATATATTAAAAATATACCTAACAAATAAAAAATTTAAAAAATTTAAAAAATTTTGAGAGCTACGTTCCCTTAAATATATTACTCACCGTCCCTTATTAAAAATATATAATGAATAAAAAATTTTTAAAAATTTTAAAAATTTTATGGGCCTCGACCTCCATCAATACACTTCTCTCTTTGTCGGGATATATCCCAATTTTGTAAATTGTATTTGATAAAAAATGAATGGCGAGTATCGCTATAACAGAGGGCTGGAAAGTTAACAAATTTGAGCCCACATAATAATTATAAGTCGGTGGAAATTAGGCTGTTGGGAAGCCTCCACTGATTTGCTGCACGGCAAGCATATATAGAATAGCAGATCATACATAGCAGAAATGAAATGCACGTATAATTCGCAAAAGCATGGATAAATTTATGATTGATTTGGAGACAGACCTGGAGGTCATGAGGGAGTGTTGCAGGAGTGGAAAGACCAAAGAAGCATCCTGGAGGAGGTCTCAGCTTAAAGGGTTGCAAACTTTTCTCAAGGAGAATGAGGTAGAAATTTTGAGGGCCTTGAGAGAAGATTTAGGGAAGCATTATGTTGAAGCATTTCGAGATGAGGTAAGGAGAAAAAGTTCTTGTTTTATGTTTGGACTCCTAATTTAGTTTGAATATTGAGTTTATGAATGTGGTTCAGCCAGCAGGGAAGGCCTGCTTCATAGTTTCCTGAAATTTCTTCTTCCCTTATTGTTGGTGCCTGTTTTATACACATGACATATACATGGTGGGACTTTGCAGGTAGGACTTATAAAGAAATCGTTGAATCTTGCACTCAAGGATTTGCAAAAATGGATGTCAAGCAGAGAGGTAATTATCCTAAAACATCCCTGACATCTTTAACTTGGTTCAAAAATCCAGACTTAACCCCTACAGTCTTCGTCTTTGTTTAAGCTGACACTATGTAAATGGTTGAGGCAATATTTATGCTGGTTTATTGTGGGTTTGGCTATATATTCTTGTCTTTTTTTTTTAAAAAAAAATTTAATTAACTTTGTTGAGTTTAGAAATTAAATTATGTAATAATCATGCTTGGCTTCATCACTGTTATCGCCTTTTGCAAAAGTTAAGGTTAGTTGTTCTTGTACGACTTTTGCACTCTTCTTCAAATTCTTTCTTATGTCATGTGTCTACATCGATAAAGGATAAGATGAATTCTAAATTTATAAATAAAAACTTTTTTTACCTAATAGACATGTTTTTAGGTTGAAAACACGAGATGTGACAAATAATATTAGAGTTTACCAAACTTTGCACTAATGTGGACTCCTTATAAGAGATACTAGGATCGAGGTAAAACTATATCAAAGTGAGTCCCTCACCTCTATGGATGAATGATCCAGTGCAATAAGAGCATTGCACAATTGAACGAGGTAGAACGCTATGGATATACATCACTACGATATGAAATAGATCTTTAGTTTATAAGTAATAGCTTTCCTACCCATGATGGATTTTTTTTTATTAAAAATATGGACCAATGGTAAATAATATTAAAAAATAAACAAAAACATTTTAAGTGTACATTAATTTTCGACGTATTAAGTAACTTTTTTGAGATTTTATTATCTCTCAAAAATGATTTATGATAGTTTGCATTTGAGACACATGTCAGATGCAAGCTCACAACTAAAATTAGAAATATGAATGGCCCAGTTAATTTCTCTTTTCCATTTCATGATAGAGGATTTTATCAAATTTGTATTCAATCTCAGCATGTACCACTTTTAAGTTAAATCATGGATCCAAGTGTGAGGATTAGAACACCAAATTAAAGTAATTATTATTGTATACCTATTTGTGTCATTGAGCTAGCCATTTCTCGCAGTAGAAAAGCAAAATATTTATGGTCAAGGTTAAGTCTTCTTCTTTGCTCTTTTTCTATGGTAGCTCACAATAGGCAAAGGGAAAAGGAGACCTACTGAGATATATATAATAAAATAAACCCTAGAAACCTCCATTAATAGCTTACTAGGTCAAGGCCTACATAACCGCCAAACCACATTGACCTAATTAGACGTACAAAGCTGACCATTAATTGATCATTATAATATTAACTGGGTTTTCATGTCTTGCCTCACACTAAGACTAAATTATCAACCTATTTTATTATATAGAAATTACTAATTAATAATAGTCCATAAAATAGAAAATTTTAACAGTCTCTTACTTAGGCAATATTAATTGGAGTTTATTTTTATTTTAAGAAAACACTTTAGAAAAGACTTCAGAGTAATTGAATTAATTTTGATGTGGCCACAATTTAAAGAAAAAAAATTTAGCCCTTAGAGACAATATCTTAATGATGCTTTCTAATAAAAACATCTAAAATTGAATTATGGTAGCCATTATGCCATTTATTGACATATGACCAATCCATAGTCTCAAGTACTAGTGATCCTATCGACAATGGATCTTAGTGTAGTTGTGTAGCAAAAAAATAGCATCCAAATGTGATTTCAATGTGCTATTTTTTTTTATCAATCCTCTTGCTGATTTCTCTAAACTTGATGAGAAATCTATACTGTATTAACAACATACTTGTATGTCTTCCATTTATCCTCGAGGTTCCTTGTTGATGTCATTCATGAGACATACCACTAAAATCACTCTTGAGATAAACCAATCTCAAGATTTCACAAAGCATATATACAATATAGCAATTTGATAAATCATATATACATGTATAAATAATATCAAATAGGATAAAATACATTGACTCTCTTAACTTTTGGTCATAATTATACGTGGGTTCATTAGGTTTCAAAATAAACACTTTCCCACAAATGTGCGAACAGTATTAATGCCTAAATGTGAAATATCTAAAATGTTTTTTTTTTCACTATTTTCCTTTCTTTCAAATCGGTTGGTGACGTTTCCTTACACTAGTCGGCCACCTCACTATTGGATTTGGCCATGGAATGTCAAATTTAGTTGGATCTCCTTGGGCTTCCTTGGGGAACATTGTGCACTCCCCTGGTGAGCCCTAGATTGAGCTCCCTTGGGAGCACTAGATCATTGTTCCCTTGGGGAGTCTTAGATCAATTCTTCTTTGGGGATTATCACTCGTCGTGGGTGGTTAAATGAAAAGATTTTTTTTTTGAAAAAAAGAAAAAATTAAAATGAAAAATTATAATTTATATAGTGGTAATTTTTAAAATTAATGAAAGAGAAAATTATCTTAAAAATATTAACACATCATCAAACTAATAGAAATATTGATGGTTGATTAACGACAAAACTTATGTGTTCGACGAAAATATTCTTTTGAAGTAGATTTTTTATTTTAAAAACTATTAAACCTATGTGTAATTTTGGTCAAAAGTTTAAAAAGTTAGTGTATTTTATCCTATCAAATAACAGTATAGATTATCAATAAACTATGATCATCATTAAATATAAAATCAAATATCTCATGGATGTTTAAAGATATTGAAAAAGGTCCTAGCACAATTACATGTTAGACATAATATGAGAGTTTTAAAAACATAAATAACATACTTCCACTCATCAAGTACATCAAAAGACCCCAAAATATCATGCTTTCAACATGTCTACTAAAAACTATAGGTCTTAACCCCTTAATGAAAGGACCAACCAATATGTCATCAATATCAATGTGCTTAACAACAATGTCACCAATTTTTCTTTTACAAAATCCCTAAGCTTTAGATTCTTTATTTTTAAACGCTTAAACCCATTAGTGCTTTTATTATTCTTAGTGAACAATACAATAGACCTATTTTCACAATAAGTCTTAAGAGACCTAGAGATGGAATCAACAACATACAACTCAAAAAAAGATTTGCAAGCCAAATAGCTTGTGTAGTAGCCCCATAACAAGCTGCAAACTTAACTTGCATAATAGAGAAAGCTAAGGGTGTATGCTTAACACTTTTCCAAGAAACAACTTCCCAGCCAACATAAAAATATATCTAGATGTGGACTTCTTATCATTTGAATAGTTGCTTAAGTTAGAATCTACGTGACCCTCTAGTTTAAGGTCTTCAACCTTCTGATAAACGAATATATAATCCTTAGTTCTATTCAAATATCTCATCACATTCGTTACGGCTTCCTAATGATCTTTATTAGGATTAAACAAATATATTCCTAAAATACCCATTGCACAAGCAATGTCAAGCCTCATGCACACTTGAGCATACATCATACACCTTATTGTAGTAGCATATGAAATTGCTTCCATATATTCCCTCTCACATCATTTTAGGATATTATGCCAATTTCAATTTATCAACTTTAACAATTGGCATATCTGCACTTTTGTAATCAAGCATATAATATATATTCCACATTCGATCAAAGTATGAACATTAATAGAGTCCAAACAAGTGATGAGATCTATCTTTATGGATTCAATCCTAAAGTCATAAGAGGCTTCCCAAGATTTTTCATGTAAAATTCCTTAGACATAACTAGCAAGCAAGATGTCAAAAACATACAAAATAGAAAGATGAACTTGCTTCCACTAATCTTGACATTTATGCATTAGTCTACCTTATTCTCAATAAAATCAAAAGAGGTTATTACGTCACCAAATTTATGATATCATTAGCGAGAAACTTGTTTAAACCCATAAATAGACTTTTAAGTCTGCACATAAGATGATCTTTATCATTCTTTTTAAATTCTTTAGGTTGTAACATATAAACCATTTCAATAGAATTCTCAATTAGAATGGCAATCATAACATTTATTTAGTGTAGTTTTAAATAATAATGAGCTACTAATGCCATAAATAATTTAAACAATATCCTTGTATGATACAAGAAAAAAATATTTCTAATTAAAATCTTTGGTAGCTAGCTTGACTTTAAGCTTCTCAATCTTTCTTGGTCTTATATATTTTATTTACAACTAATGAGGTTTTAACTATTATTTAGCTCAACAAGCTCTCATAAAACACTATATAACATAGATTTGTAGCTTATCCTTCATTGCATCTCATCACAGATCTAATTTAGGTTTGAAAACAACTTTTGAAAAAGTTAATGGATAAACTATAGGACCATAACATAGTTACCCTTTTAAAGATAAAATTCATAGATGTTTGAGGAAAAAGCAAACTCCCTTACCTTTGTGAATCTTCTTTGTGGTATCGATCATATAACATCCTAATGTTGAAAGACTTCATCAAGAACTTGTTGAACTTATTCTTATCCCCAAACTGGTGTATGTGCCATATTATCCTTCTATATAAGTATAGGAATATTTAAGTCTCAATATACTCTCCTCCATCTATATTGTGAGAGTAAAAAGTTAGTTGTTTTTACCTTAACAATTTTACCAACTTTCTTGAGCAGTAGAATTTGTAATCCTAAGAATGATCTAAGTTCCCAATAAATTAGCAATAAGTGAAATGATAGGCACACTTTTGAAAGACATCCCTAAACACATAAATGATTAATACAAGATTTCCATCAAGTCCAAAGCTTAAAGAGAATTGTACGTATAGATTTGGCAGAGATTTTATTCAAGATATGCAAATTTACTTCAATTGCTTCTCTTTTAAAAAATTCTAGTAAATAACCCACTAACTATACTCCTCATCACATCTTTAAAGGGTGTGATTCCACATTTCAACCACACCATTTTGTTTAAGATTACTAGACATAGTGTATTGTGACACTATTCCACAACTTTCTATAAATTTGGCAAATTGACCCTTTTGCTGTCTATTTATATTATGCTAACTATAATACTTACCACCCTTATCTAACTTTAATTATTCAATGATTTGTTTCAATTTTTTCTTAACTTTAATTTTAAAGATCTTAAATTTATTAAGA